TTTTCCATTGTTTTATTGTTTATTCAAGTTACTCAGGTAGAATCCCATACCTTAATGTTTCTAGCGGAAACGACATATCTCTCAAGCTATTAACATTGGACTTAAGTGATATGAGCTTTAAAAGCTCTACAACATTAAAAGTTCGGGGTTTCATAATTTTTTGCACATCTACATCTACTACAGATGACATACATGTAAAGATCATCCTTATCGGTCCGGCAGTTCGTCAGAAATAGTGCTTCCAAGATTTTGCTTGTAGCTGTGTAATATAAAAATAAAAAATATAGATGTGCTTCGCAAATCGAAAAGGACGAACTTCGGCAGTAATGTGGGCAGAGGATCATGCTTGAATTTACAGCAGTGCCAAACTATGAGCGAAATTCTATTTTTGGCAAATGATAAATACGTGGAGATTATCTATCTAAATTTGTACGAGGCAGATAAAGGAAAATATTAAATTAGCAATAATGGTTATTTTTAGCTTAAAATATGATAGATTCGAAAGTAAATTAAGGAAAGGAGTTTGCTCGCCTCGGAATGTCTACAATCTCTGTCTTTTTTAAAGGAGATAACTTCATTATCATTTGTATTTCTAAACACTTAAGTAGGGACTAAAATCTTTTGATCAATATGAGTATTAGATAGATATTTTACAAATTATTACAATTTTACAACAGTGGGAAACAAGGAGAATGTAAAAGCAGCCCGAAACGGAGCTGACAATTTAAAACACAGGAAAATGCGGAAAAGGCTAAAATACAAAATACAAAGGCAGGACGTTTCGGTACCTTACGGCACCATTATCAACTGCTAAAATACAATTAAAAATAAAAAAGAAATTAAAATAAAAACCAGCAAACGGCGTTACATGGTGAAATTGGTAAATGAGACTGCCTCATTTACCAATTTCACCATGTAACGCCGTTTGCTGGTTTTGTCATGGGAACGGAGTTCCCCATGATATTAGAATCGTTCCGTTGCTTTCGCTATGGGATTCCCTATACCTCTGCGACCTTGAGCGTTTCGCCCAGTCTCCGATTTTTGGTTGATTTTCCGATGTATCAAAAACCGTTGTATTTTTTAGCCAATCATGTCTCTACGTCAAGTTGTGTTGATTGCTAAAATTCGCTTTCAGCGAGTTTTTTTCTACCTTGAGATGTCGTGTCTGACTGGTAAATCTGCGCAGAACCATGAAGTTCCGTTTTTAGGCAAATTCTTTTTTTTGGGAGGTTCTGATTGGTTATTTTTCGCCATCAGTTTTCTGTTCGTTGGTGCAAAAGATCGCCTACCTCGGTGCTCTTGAGAAGCCGCCATTATCCCACCTCAAATTTGAAAAATAGAAGTAAAGGAATAATAACCATCGTACAAGGTGGAAAATTGTTCTGGAGGACTCGTTACGGATATATGAGCCAAAATCAGAACTCGATTGATTGATTTAATCCATGAATACAGAAATATTGCCTCAGCTTACTGCCGCGATAGCAAATGCATGGTGAGATGAACCTTGAGACACATGATAGAATAGGTAAACAATGTCTCACAGAGAAAGGCGCTTAGCTCATTTCTTTCATATCCCCGGAGCGTCGAAAACAACTCTTGTGATAAGACCCGCCCACCGTCAGAGTCTTTTGTATGCTATTTTTACGCCACCATCTGCGGAGCCGTGATAGCCTGGTTGACTAGGTCGTCACATTTTTATGAAAAGGAGCTGGCAATAGGCAGTCGGGAGTTCGATACCCGACGATGGGTGTTACTTTTTAATGGTTGTATTGAATGTTTTAGACTAATCATCAAAAAATAATTAATAGTAGATGATAAATGTACGAACATTTTCTCGTGAATTAATATGTTAAACATAAATACTGGAATATACCTCCTTCATATAATCAGCCACATGTTCCCCCACATTAATGACGTTATTTTCTTTTTTCAATTTGCATTCAACGTTCGTAAGTTAAGCAAAAAGTACCTATTGATACAAATAGAAAGACATGAAAATAGTATGTGTAACATTTCAGTTGTTTTTTTTTTATTTATTTTTTGTTTTTTTGTTTTTTCAATAAAACAAATTGACTGGGACTAGAATCATTGTATCTCTGAAGACAAAAGCTAAGTTTTTTGATACAGAAATACTAATATATTCATCCTTCATATAATCAGGGAGATGTTGACCCAAATATTGATGTATATTTTCTCTGTTCGCCCAAATTAATGATGGTATTTTCTTTTTTCAATAAAATTAATTTACATTCCACGTTCTTAAAGCAATATTTTCTCCAAAATTCAGCAGAAAATAACAATTTATACCTACGCAAAAAGTAAATAAATAAATAAATAAATAAATAAAGCAATGACATGAAAGTAGTTTAGGTAGTACACATCTAACATTTCAGTTACATCTATTTGAATGAAAAAAATGGCAACTTAGGAAGCACATAGGTCACTTATGATGCGTATTCGGGCATATGCGTAGAGTAAAAATATCATACTTTACGCCGAAAAAACGAAACTGAAAGTTAAATGCGTTAACTTCCAAAAACCATACATAATCCAACGAAAATAAATAATTGGTAAATAACAGCTTTCTTGTATGCAAAGAAAAAAAATTAAAATTGTTAAAAAAGAGATGTCGACACAAAATTACATAGCCCCTTCAATTCTGAAGATACTACAAACGAACTGTACCTTAACATTTTCATATCCCAGAAGCAAAAGTTCCCATGACGAATATTGCTATCGCTAGCGATTGCAAAAACCAACTTGTTTATTTTAATTTCTTTTTTATTTTTAATTCTAGCAGTTGAAAATGGTGCCGTAAGGTACTGAAACACCCTGCCTTCCCGCCCGGCAAAATTACGTTGTGGCAACGTTGCCAAAACGTTGCAATTTCGCCGTTTACGTATTCGGGCAACGTTGTGGTAACGTTGCCACAACGTGTAATTTTGTCAGCTTGCATGAACGTAATTGGCAATGTGTCTGCAATGTGTTTTAGCAACATAATGGGAATGTTGCAAAAATACGTTTTAGCAACATAATGGGAATGTTGCAAAAATACGGTGAAAAAATTTCGGTGATTTATTTAAGGAGTACTCAGCATTTTTACGCCTAGAATTCAATGTGGACCGCAAAGAAGTGTTTCATAGGCACCCGAGATTCCCTCTAAGTCCGATAGTAGCCGCGCTCCACCCGGGTTCCCAAGCGGGCTCCCATCGAAGTACTAACTACGCCCGACGTTGCTGAACTTCAGTGGTCGCCCGTGTGTCGCTGCCACTCAGCTACGGACGCTCGCGTGAGAGGGATTGGTTATTTAGCATTAATAAACATCCCTAGATCTGGTTCAATGATAGAAAGCAATGATATTCTTGCATTTCTGTGCATAATTCTACAACGAAGGATACTGAACTTAATATTAGGAAGATCAAGTTTTTAAAAAAAAAGGAGTATGAAAAAAAAATTAAAAAAGAATTGAATAAATATAGTCATTTTATATAAATAAAATTATTATTATTTTAATTATTTATTTAATTATATTATAATTATTTTTTATTATTATAATTATTTGGTATTTTTATTTTGTATTAAATTATTTTCTAATTATTTATATTTATTTTTATTATTTTATTTTTTATTTTTAAATTATTTTTTTATTTTCTTTTAATTTTATCTTCATTTGTATATTTTATTGTTAATTTTTTTATTTTTTTAATTATCTATCAATTAATTTTTGTTTATTTTTGTATATACATATACATATTTTTGCGACATCGTATGAGGGCGCATTCCCTTATATTGATTGGAGAAAATCATCCGTTGAGAAACAACAGAAAGGAGAACACCTGAAACAGTGTAAAAGTGTCCCCTCCAATTTGCAGCACAGCATCTGCCTGACCTCATATCTGAGTTGTACGACCAAAATTACACAGGGATTGATACCTCACATGACACTATATGCGCATTTTAAAAAACCGAAATCGCAGAGGCCTTATAATGGCCGCCATTTTGAAATTTAGGCATTTTGGGGGGTGTTCCGGGGTCGGACCGTGGTAAACTTTTAGTATGTTGTTCAGGAGGACCTACTGATGACGTTTACATACGAAAAGTTTGTTAAGCAATTTGTTCCGGGTCAAATCGTGTTTCTCCCTGACTAATAATGTTTAACAACGTTGTCACAATATATCTAAGAATTATTTATTGAAACGTTTTTTAATAATGTTCCAGAAACATTTCTAAAAACGTTTTGAAAATATTGTCTAAAATATAATGTCAGGCAACATTGCTGAAACATTGCTTAAACGTTGCTGCTTTACCTTTACAAAGCAATATCATCAAAAATGTTGCCTTGCAACGTTGCGGCAACGTACACATTGCTCCCTTGCCGGGCGGGTTTGTATTTTGTATTTTAGCCTTGTTTCCGCATTTTCCTGTGTCTTCGATTGATTTTATAACATTTACATTTGTTTATAACTTGTTTTAGAGGGTAGAGGGAGGATTTTAGAGAGATATAAAAGGGTCATTGTAGAACGTAACCGCACTTCTGAATTTATGGAGTCAAATTTCCATCACTCATGGTCAAGATTGCACTGTTTGAAACTGTCCAAACCGCTAGATTTTTTATTTTTTATTTTTCATGTTTTTGTTAAATGAATATTCAATTTAGATCTTGACCAGGTTCAACGGAAATTGTTAAGAAACTTGCTCTTGTTCACTTATTAAGAACAAGATACTGCTTTTACATTTCTGAGGCAGCATATTTTATCGTGGTGTAACAAAGTATAGTATGTCCTAAAAATGTTCTCCCATGAGATCGAGGATTTTTTGCAAGTATGAATGGATGCTTTCTGCAATTCTGCATGGACGTTATTTTCATCAGGTATTATAAAAACGTGCATAAATCTGAGAATGCACAACTTATGACAGAAATTTTAGGCTGATTTAGATTGATTTTAAGTGATTAGATTTTAAGTGTCGTGGTTACAATTGTTGTACTCTTTTTGTTCCAGGTGATTATACAGCTTCCAACACAATTCAAAAAGAATCAATCTCAGAAGCATGTCTCGGGTGTATCTGTGAGGCAATTTCAGGCTGTAACAGCACTCTTCAATGTGACGGAGATACTTGTGGGCTGTTCAGAATAACGTGGGCCTACTACGCCGATGCCGGCAAACCTGTCCTCCCTGGAGATAATCCTGCTGCTCCTGACGGTGAGTCAAATAATAATCAGGTAGTCGTGTCGGGAATCCTAAATCCCATTTATTCATGAGTCAAACATGTAAAGCAGTTCGAGAGAAAAATGATATTAATAAAAATTAGACACTTCCTTTTTACATGAAGAATCACATACAAGTATTCAAAACTGCCGTGCTTAGAAAAAATTCTTTTGACTCTTCAAATTTTGCCAAGATCCTACCGATAAAATGTTCATTTTTGAGAGGGGCCATGAATATCTTATTCGATAATATGAAATCATAAAAGTAACGAAAAACTTATGATGCCCAAGGCGCGAAGGGCCTCGAACGTGAAGCGGTCAGGGAGCGTAAACCCCCTGGTCTGTAGAAATTTACATACACCTTGAGAAGAATTTTCTATAAATTTTTCTGGAAAGTTCCCAGTGAGAAAAATTTGAAGTTTCACATTTTATCGCAAGGTATTGCCAACGCCCAAGCGTACTTTACACACTACTTTGTTGATGATGCAGCAGAGTATTTCTGTGTCAAACCCATCAGCCAAATTAGACCCTTACAATAAAATAAGATTGTGCAAGTCTGAAGCGTGTTAGTGAAAATGCAAGGAAAATTACGGAGGATGCATTGTGACGTGGCTAGGTATGCCGAAAATGCTTGTAGAGTGAATCGCATTTTTTCCTTGATTAGAGAAACGGCTAATGGTGGAGGCTAACACTGCCGTGCTACGGGAAAGAAAATGCCATATGAACATTCGAAAGTTGCGAAATTACCTTCGATAGAACATCAAATATATTAGATTAAATTGCGTACAAAATTGTCTGAAAATTTTGGGGAAAAAATATTCACAAATTTCCCAGTAATTTCGATTTTTATCGGAGGAAACCTGGCAACGTGTTTAGGCTTAAACGGCGTTCTTCCATTAGCACGGCAGAATAGTGGTGACACGAGAGAAGGTTTCCTTTATATCGAATTGGACCAACACAAGGTCAAGGACATAACTTCTCACAAGATCACGGATCGAAGTAAATCGATCTATCGATTGTCAAAGCCAAAATGTACATTTCCATTTCATGGTTTGAAAATCTTCGATTATATTTTACCTTTTTGACGGAAAACTAACTTGTAGGTCTGTCAACAGTAGCAGCGCGTGGACTGAAACCNTGGGGGGGGGGGGGATCAAATTCGCTAGTGAAACTACAGGAATGCGTATCTCAGTGTGCGGCATGGTACACTTTATATCATAATTTATTTTCTTTACGAAAAACTGCAGAACGACGTTTTTTTTAAAATTTCAGTGATTTTTCTTCTCTTTCCAAAGAATTTTGCGTGAGAATTTCAAGGTGTGATGTTGGTTCGGTTTCCTTATAGAAAATAAAAAAGGAGCGGAGATTTCAAAACATTGCAACCAAGATACTCATTTTTTACAAAATCACCGTCAATTTGATCAAACAAGAGGGATTGTGGCGGTCTTCTCCCTGGTCAACAAATTTTGAAAATTAGGTATCCTCAGGACGCAATTTTTCTGTTTTTACAGTACAATATCACATTTCTCTTAAGGCAAAAAAATTCAATTTAAGGGCACTCCCCCCCCCCCCCCCCCCGCCCATTACACTCGCAGCTATTCTCGAACAGAAGACATAGCCTGACCGAGGGAGTGTGGAATGTCTTCGCGACGAGGACATACGGCAACTATGGACGGATATTTTACGAATTTCATTGTCAGTTTGGAATCTGGGCACACATAATTTTCCTCTCCTCGTCCTATGTTTGGTGCCAATTATGCTAAGCGACTTACTGACCGGATAGCTCATACATCAGCTGGATGCGAAAACGAACGAGCCCTTTCCCTCTTGCACGGGGTCAACAGTCTGAATACATCGGTAGCCTCGGGAAGCAAACAACTCTCAACATAAAGAAAACGAATCGGGAATCGAGCAATGGCGTGCGATATATCGATTGATCTGTCAATCGAACCCATGGCAAAAGATCGATAAACAGAATGTTAACAACGAACACCTTAATAATCGATTCTTTATCATAGCATCAAATGGGGAAATATCGATTAACGATCATTCATGCTTCGCCACTGGTAATCGAGGGACCGCAACTCAAGACATATTTAATGTCACTGAATCAAGGACAGTCAATTTTGGAGACTCCGCACTATCAGGTCTCGATACACGATCAAATTCCCGAACCAATTACCATCAAAATGTCAGGTGTCAACAGTCTTTAAATCATTACTTTGCTTAATTTTAAAATACAAACTTGGCAGAAATGTTTCGTGCGGCAGGAAAATATAAATGGTGGCACGCCATTCTGCTCAAAATTTGACGACCCGTCCAATTTTGATCAAAGAGGACTGCTGCATGGTTACCATCAGTCATCAACTTGCTCAGAATTGGTTCGGAATTTGATCGCGAATCCAGACCTAAAAAATCTCAGTCATTTAATCGAATGAGGCAAAGGTTGAATTCGGAGATCAACGCTACCTACTCCTCATCTAATGATGCTTGATGAGCAAAAAATCAAATAAAATTCGCCTTATTATGAATGATGGAAGTCGGGGTGAGTACATTTCTAGACGCGTTCCTGCTAATTAGGTTCGGATTACACTGGGGCCAAATTTTGGTGTTCCCTCCTCCGCACTTAAATTCGTACATACTTAGGACGTGTTTCAACTGCACCTAATTCCAGATTTGCGCTTCTGACTGGCTGGTAGCGCGGTTTGGACTCATCGATGGATGTTGCACCTACATGTGAAAGACGGGTTTTGGATTTTTTTAGCCAACGTGCGTGAAAAGTTCAGCCTAAAGCTGACGTCTCATTACAGAAGGAAAAAGCTCACACACAAGCACAATTTTCCCTCAAAGTGTTACGCTATTCGGAGCAACACTAGTGACGTCCATAACTTTTTACGCACGTTGGCTAAAAAAATCCAACATCCCGTCTTACGACCCGTGCGTTTACAACGATCAGTTTGTGTACACGTGAAATAGTGAACAAAATACGATTCCTGTACCAATTGCTCAACTCTTTGATTATCTGTCATTGTTTAGCATTTGAGTATTGACTTCCGAGAGTGATTTATACGCTATGGGGAGAAAAATGGGATCTCTAAAATATACCAGCCGCGGAGGGCGCGCGAAGTGACCCACATTCCTGTCACTATCACTTTGATTACATTTAAGAAAGTTTCAGAAACAAATGTCACGTCGTCTTGCAACATTCTTCTAAAAGTCCAATGAATATTCTTGAAAGCTCCCGAAAGGACACGGCAAGGGCATCAATTTAATTGCGCATCACCTGGAGAAAATTAAAGACTTCGAAAAATTCGGGAAAAGCTATTGTCAAACGTGAAACTTTACGAGAGTCCAACAATATTCTATAAAATTCCGAAAAGGATTAATGAGAGTCATCGTTTTACTGTTGCTAGATACGAGTGCGTTACGAGGGGGACTTTAGAGCCACGTTTTGTAACTATGTAGAATGGAGGCGTAACGCCGCCCGCCGTTGTGTTTATGATCCGATATAAAAATTTAACATGAGGTGACAATTGTTCATCTAAGATCTATTATCGAATGCTCATTCTATAGAGGACATCGAACTTAGAGCTACGTAAATTTTTTAGAGGAATGCAGAGCAGTGCAAATGCGTCACAAGGGCCGGGAGGGAGAGTCAAAAATTCCGTTTTTTCGCGTTACGCATTTTATGAACGGCCCATAATTCTGCATGTTCATTTAGTGTAAAATAACATTGGTAAATAGATTAAAAATACACTTTGGAGAGAAAAAAATAAGTTCAGTTCGCAACTTTGAAAAATATATCAATTTGTTTAAAATTTTGCCAGTCGTTTGCATTTATATTACAACTTGAAGGAAGTTGTACGTCGTAAAAAAGTTAAAGGTTCATAGTATGAACAAGAGCCACAATATTATGCGCCAAACACTGTTGAGCAGTGATCTATGCAGGTGGATATGATATCCACATCAGCAGCAGTGGTTGGAAAATTCTCTAATCACCTCGAAACTCATTAACAAGATGATGGATTGCATTGAGTCCCATAATGCAGGTCTCAGTGTAAATCTTTCGCTTACGATATGCAGCTTAAAAATTCTTCCGATTTAGCCGTATAAACATGATTAATAAATTAATATTTTTTACAAATATTTTCCAGCTTACTCCAAGTGTACAACTAACCCCACTTGTGCCGCTCAGACTGTCATCAATTACATGAATAAATTTGCTCAGGTAAATTGAAATCTTCCTCTCAAGTTATTTAATTTTTTTCTCTTTTAACTAATCTTACGCTTCTACGATGAATATTATACTTTGTTTCTACACAACAATTTTCAACATTTCTGCTTATCCTTCAGTTGCGTGGCGTGCTTTGCGATATTGATATGTCATTTAAACCGATGATAAAGGATCGATGAACAGGGTGTTCTCAACGAACACCTTAATAATAGATTCTTTACCATAACTATGAATGGGGAAAAATTGATAGTTGATCAATCACGCCCCGCTAAGACTGTTATCCCTCATTTTTCACGGGTAGTATTACTGGAAATGTTCGTATAAAATCTTTAGAGCATATTCAGGAATGTACGAATAAAAACCACGTACAATTTTATGGGACCACGCAACTTGCCCATCTTTCAAAATACTTATATGGGACCAAAATTTACACTTCCCTTGACCGGACTATTTCATTTTATCATCAGGTAGAGTGTTGCAGTACTGAAGAGTTGCAAACTCAAAGACGCACAGTGAAAAACCCTATGGTAACCTTTTTAATATGAAGTGCAAAAATAAAAGTAATGATGATTTTGCTGTTCACAGTACCGACTTGGATTTCTCGGGGAAAAATAGAGGGCTCTGCGTTGGTGTGATCCGGTAATGGAATCGAAAATGGGCGCGCAACGATAGTGGGTGGTCTCAAGAAAACTAAAGTTCCTTGCTAACCTATCAACCGATTTTTAAAATCATGGGTGGCGGTAGCCACCTCCGGACAAAGTCTAAACTCGACAATACTGGAAAGCCTCCAAACGAAAAAAGGTGGCAGCCAACCATAGACACACGTAACTCCCTTATTCTGAAAATTGATTCGACTCTAAGTAGACTGCAGCCCAAACGACGGCACGGATTCCAACGATCTTGGTGTCTACTGACGCACCTAAATTGGGCCTACTAAGTTGGAAAGTTTCATCCAGATCCATTGAGTTTTCAAAAAGTTATAAGCACTTAAAGGCCCAAAATGACAAATATTTTTTGTAACATGGGCCGTTCAGTAGCGGGAAACCGACATGATCACCTTTCACAACAGATTTCTTGCTTACGCGGCCACAGATTCTAATGAAACCTACAAAGGATCATGCTTGAAGATATGAGGATTTCATTTCTACCACATTTAATAGGGTTTCAATGCTCGGATAATTCAGCATCGGCAAATAACTTTCAAAATTTTAGCTACAATGTTTTGAATTTTAGAAAAATCCGGTATAGTGGTTCAATGCCATTGGTCGATTCCGTTCAGTTCAGCCAGTCTCGGGAACGAAAAAAATTTCCCTAGTTACCAACTTCCAACTCTAACTAGTTGAGAACAGATTTTTTATTTAATTATAATATAAGAGTTCAATTCTCTGTAGAAGCTAAATAATAATTTTACACACTTATATTATTACGTCGCACGTCTTCTGCCAGAGCCCGATACACTATTTCATTAGTTTCTCTTAAAATGTTCAAGTGATGTCTTTGTTTTTGTTCAGAAGTGAGGTTATCAGTCCGTGTACCTGTCTGACCCAAGCATCAATAAATGTAATTCAGGTAAATTACGTCGATAAAAGGACATCAAAGTTGTGCCAAACTATCAAAAGGAAGCAGGAAGCATTTACACCACAGTTTGCATTCTCGTGACTAACAGCATCTAAATATTTCCCTACCATGCACACCAATGGATCGAAGGGAGAGCCCATTAAGTACTCTCAGTTTTTAATTACATCATTGTTTTCCTCAAGTCACGAATGCTAGTTTCCATATCTTGAAGAGATGTAGTCGTTTTCGGTGGACCCTATCAGTCTCAAGAAAA